ATAGGGTTGCTATGAGTCACAGGCAACTCAACAACACATAACAACAACAAATGTGGCTACTAAGCAGTTTGAATATGAGTGAATCAACCAGAAAACTGAAATTTTAACTTTTAAGTATTTTAAGGTTAAATAATCATACACAACTCATGTTAGTGGTTACACAGTGCAATGATAAGTTGTTTTATTCTTTAAAATGTAATTCTAATCAATGCTGAAGTACCATTCAGATTCTTCTAATATTCAACCCTGGACTTAAGTAAAATCAGATCTTTTAATGAAAAAAAAATCCTTCGCAGGAGATTTTCCCAGTGCAACACATTTTTTTTATTTCTTGACTACTGTCACAACAGGTATTGATTGTGGATCCAAGTAAAAGAAAATTGTTGACAACTTCAGTCTTTTCTCCATCTATTTTAAAGTCGCCTATCAGTCAAGTGTTGAGAATTTTTGTCTTTTAAATGTTTAGATAATAGTCTATTTTAGGCTGTAGTTAATAGTTAATAGGCTGTAGTTTTGGGTCTTCAGTGAGTGAGTTCTTTAAGTTTTCTTCACTTTCTGCAAACAAGATTGTGTCATCTGCGTAATGCAAATTGTTATTAAGTCCTCCTTCAATCCTAAGGCCACATTATTCTTTATGTAGTCCAGGTTTTCAAATTATTTGCTCAGATTGAATAGGTATAGAGGAAGCAAACAGTCTTAATATACACCATTCCCGATTGTAAATTGTGCATTGTTTCCTTGTTCTGTCAGACAGCTTCTTCTTGGTCTGTGTATAGGTTTTGCATAAGCACAATTCAGTGTTCAGAATTCCCATTCTTCTCAATGTCATCCAATCTTTATTATGATCCACAGTTAAATAATCTTTATCAACATTTTACACACGTGGTATTAGTGATTTTATTAAATAATTTCCTCATTCTGTTGGAGCTTTTTTTTTTTTTAATGGAAACAAATATGGACCTTTTCCAGTTGACCCAGGGAGGTGTTCTAAATTTCTAGACCACATTGCCACTGCTATTGGAGTGAGATGGTATCTCGCTGTGATTTTTGTTTGCCTCTCTCTGATTGCTAGTGATTCTGAGCATTTCTTCAAGTATCTGTTGACCATCTGAATGTCTCCGTCTATGAAAAATCTTTTCATGTGTTTTGCCCATTTTGTAGTTGGGTTATCAGCCTTTTTCTTGTGGAGGCCCTCTAGTATTCTGTAAACTTTCATTATGAGATCCTCTCTGAGAAGGGATTGCCGATTACCCCCCACCCCCGCCCCAAGTCAGTAGTGGGGTTTTTTTCACTCTATTGGTTAAAGTTTTTGATGCACCCAGGGTTTTAATCTTTAGAAGGTCCCGTTCATTGATGTTATCCTCTCCTGGTTATGCATTTCTGGTTGTGTTTGCCAACCAGTTTATACCATAAACTAAGCCTTCTAAGTTTGGTCCAGTTATATCTCTTATGATTTTTATGGTTTGGGGCTTTACCCCTCTGTCTCTGATCTGCCTTGAGTTGATTTTGGGGTTATGATCTGAAATAGAAACCCTGCATAAGCTTTCTGCAGGTAGTAGTCCAATTTTGCCAGTGCCGTCCGTTGTTGAAGAGGTTGTCATTTCTCCATTCAATGGACTTTGCTTCTGTGTTAAATACCAGCTGACTGTAGTTTAATGGATTAATTTCCAGGTTTTCAGTTCTGCTTCATCAATTGATATGTCTGTTATTGTACCATTACCATGCTGTTTTGGTTAGTATAGCTGTGTACGAGGTGTTAAGATCAGGGAGTGATGTGCCTCCCATTTCATTCTTGTTTTTCAGAAGGGCTTTGCTCATTCAACGTTTCTTTCCTTTCCAGATAAAGTTGCCAATTCCCTTTTCTATCTCTTTGAAAGATGTATTTGGTATCTGTATTGAGATTGCATTAACTTGTAGAATGCTTTTGGTAGCATTGTCATTTTTAATATATTGAGTCTTCCTATCTGTGAACAAGGACCATTTTTCCATTTATTTAAGTCATTTATTGTTTCTTGCAGTAGTGTTTTGTAGTTTTCTTTAAAAGGGTCTTCTGTGTCTCTGTTTAGGTTTATTTCCAAGCGTATAAATTTGTGATTGGTTATTAAGTGTTATTGCATTCTTAGTTTCCTTTTCTATGTCCCCTTTGTTACTGTAGAGGAAGAAATTAAATTGAGTTTTGGTTGAGTGCAGTACCCTGAGTACATCCATTAGGTAAAGTTGACTGGTTTTATAGTTTAGATCTTCTGCATCTTTGCTAAATTAACTTTCAAAATGGACCTATCCTTTGGTGGAAGTGATGTGTTATAGACTTGTGCAACTACTGTTGTGCTATTTCTTTCTTTAAGTCTGTTAACTGTTTCATGTATTTTGCAGGTCTGTCAATTCATGTGTAGATGTTGACCAAGGTAATATCTTGTTATCTATTCTATAGTTCCCTTCCTTATAGTTTATGGTGGTTTTTATCCTGAAATTTGTTTTATCAGTGGTTAGTATTGCCACTTCTGCTTTTTCGTGGGTTCCATTTGCTTGGTATGTTGTTGGTTTTTTCCTACCTTTGATTTTTAGTCCTTTTCCTCATTTCTTAAATGTGTCTCTTGTAGGCAATATATTGATGGCCTTTGCTTTTTTATCCATTCGGCTACCCTTTTTCTCTTAATTGTTGCATTTGGTCCTGTTGAAAACTTCTGCCATTTTGGTCTTGATATTCTGGATTGCATTTTCATGCATTTCTGTTTGTTTTGATTTTTTTTTTTTTTTCAGGTACTGTGTTGGCTGTATATTCTCTGTCCTGTGATGATTTTTTTTAAGTTCTTATACCTCTTTGTCTGTAGTTTCAATTCTTGCTTCCATCTTTTGCATATTCTCCTGTGGTTGTTCATGTTTCTCTACCTTGATTTCTTTCTTCTGGCTCTGTGTCTCCGGAGTATTTGCTTTTTATGACTTTGATTCTTTCTTCCATCATTTTCACCTTCTTCCATATCTGTTCATATAACTCTGAGCCTTCAGTGTATTTCTCTGGTTCCTTGTGTCTGGGTGTTCACTTTATTTATGGCTTTCATCATTTACACCATCTTCCATAGATGTTCGTATGACTCTCTGTCAGTATATTTCTTCTGCCTCTCTGTCTCTGAGATCTTCATTGGGTGTTAAATATGCTCTGAATTTTCAGGAGGTTTATTTTGTTTTTCTTTTTCCATAATGTTTGACGCTGCCTGCTGCTTTCTTGGCATTATGTAAAGTTTTTATTGGTGTATATTAGACCATTTCTATTGTATCTATTGTATCTACCATCTCATTCTCTGTAGGTTGCTGAGGTTCTTTATCTTGATGATGTTATTTATTAGTTGCAGACTTAAGTATTATTTTTATGAGGGAGGGCACCTTACTATTGCAGGACTCCTTTCTGGGCCTGTGCAATGGGAAAGTTCACCTTTAAGTCCTTTAACATCTCCCTGAATTGCAGGACAGCCTTGCTGGAGTCTCACCTAATTGCACCCTGCCTCTTCTAAAGTTTGTAATTGTGCATGGTGGTGGTAGTGCACGGTAGCCAGAGATCACCTTCCCTGGCAATCAGCTGCATTCTCTGTGTCCTTGGTGAGGTCCGGGAGGACAGGGCCCATACCTCTATCCTGTTACCCTTGCAGTTCTTGCACATAGCCTGGTGGGGAATCTATTGAGTCTACACTCACCTCTTCTAAAGTTTGTAAATGTTCTTGGTGGTGCTGGTGAGCACAGCCTCAGAGACCACCTTCCCCTGGCAGGCAGCTGCACTCTCTCTCTCCCATGTGGAGTCAAAGGGGGGAAGGGCCCAACCTCCATCAAACCACCTTTTCAGTTACTTCATATAACCTGATGGCGATCTCTCCTCCAGCCTGTGCCTGCTTCCTATAAAGTTTGCAGGTGTCTTTAGGGGTGCTGGCAAGCATAACAGCTAGAGAGCACCTTCCCCTGGCAGGTAGCTGCACTTGAAAGTTTACAGACACTTTGGATTTCCATTCATACATTGTTGCACACCAAGATCAACATTTTTAACAGTTGCTTTATTACCAGAAGAAAATGGAAAATTGGGGAAAGGGTATTTGTGCCTAGATATTAACTACTAGAGAAATAATTCCCCTTTAATATAATACTAAGACTGTTGTTAATTGCCTTCTAGTCAAGCATGACTCATAGTGACCCTATGAACAAAAGGCCTGAAGCCCCTCTACAACTATTGACATTTATCAAAGTTCATAGAATTTCTGGAGGCATGTGGTTTAGGAAGTGGACTACATGTAATAATCAAAGCTTCAAACTTTGATTCTGGTTCAGCTTCCTGCTGAAAGTATATATTTCTGACTCATCTAAACAGAATCAGAACCTACATTTTATGTATGCATGGGGATCACCTGAGGAATTATAAGATTCATTTAGAGAATATTGTTAATATGCACATTCTAATTTAGTATTATTTGGATAAGAAATGTAAATTTGCATCAGGGATCAAGCCAGAATGAATTACTTTGAAACCTTTGCAGTAAGTTCCTGTAGAAAACAGTTTTGTCTGTATCCAATGTATTCAACCATACTTTTTGCTATTTACCACAACTATATAGCCTTAAGTGCTACCCTTTTTCTAGGGAACTCTGGTGTACTAGTGGAGGAAGTTCCAGTGGCCTAGTGACAAGAAGCCACATTGCAATCCCAATGGCACATGGTTCAAATACACCAGTTGCTCTGTGGGAGAAAGATGGGCAATCTCCCATGCGATTAACTAACTGCCTCTGAAAACCTGGGGGAAGGTGTGAAGGTCCACTGTGGGTCAGTTCCAACTCTTCGGTACACAACAACAAACAACATCTTTTTTTAATTATAAAGCTCTCCACTATTACATGTTATAAAACAAACTTAGTATCTTAGAAACATTGTTGACACTGAAGGAAAATTCTATAAGACTCTGCTATATCTGTGATTTATTTCCTTTTTTTCTTTTTTAATTCTAGTTCTAAGAACAGGTGGAATTGGCTATGGATAATTTATATTATTCCAATCAACAAACTTCATGTAATGGAATTCCATCTGAGAAGAAAAACAGCTTCCTTGTATCAGAAGACCATGGGCAGAAAGTCTTAAGTATATTACAGAATTTCAGAGAACAGAATGTCTTTTATGATTTCAAAATAATCATGAAAGATGAGATAATCCCATGCCATCGTTGTGTGCTAGCAGCCTGCAGTGACTTTTTCAGGTACTTCGTCTAATCTTTCTATGCTCTGATTTTATAATGTTCATAATTATTATTTTCTTAACCATGCACAATTTCTCTCCCACAGGTACAAGCAGTAGTTTGTGTTTTTTTTTTTGTTTCTTAAAAATGTTAATTAGAAACAAGATTATCTAGTGACTCATGAAAAAGAAAATGAAGATCTTATTTTACAGCTCAGGTCTTCCTAGGTCAGCATCTCGCAAAGTTTTGTGGAATTTTTGTAAACATCTCATTTCATTAGTAACAATCAGTGCAAAGCTGGTTCCTAAGAGGCAGAGGTTAAACACATCCCAGATTTTTAACTGCAGTACCACTTCATCACATGTTGACCACCCTTCTTCCCCACAGCACTCTTCTTTCTTCATTGGCTTAAGTCCTATGATGCAATTTCTCACAGAACTCACAAACTGCATTTACAGGTAATATGATTTGTTCAGGAAGAAATAGGTTAAAACTTGAGATCAAGATTGATTTGGAAGTAAAACAACAGAATAAACTTTGTAACAATAGACCTGCCACTCAGGATCAAAGTCAGGAAGAGCACAGGCAAGGTCTGGAGGGTTCCCTGACAGTGAAAAGCACATTTGTCCTTCCTCTGTGTTGGTTAGTTTTGCATGCCCCTCAGAGGCTGCACACCCCCTCAGGACACACCTCCTTTTGGCAACATACCGCGACACTTGTCCTCTCAGTGCGCCGGGCTCTTTCTTCCCAATGTTGTTGATTGCCTTCGAGTCAAGCACGACTCATAGCAACCCTATAATTATTGACATTTATCAAAGTTCATAGAGTTTCTAGAGGCATGTTGCTTAGGAAGTGGATGCCACTCCTGTTTCCTTTATGTATATATATAAAATAAAAACTATAAATCATGGGTAATTGGGCATGCTTCCACAGTTCGATGGATTTTGACTGAAACTGGAAAATAACATTTTGTATTTCCAAAGCCCTTTAAATCTTGAACCTTTCATGGTGGATTTTTAGTAAGTCGTTTTAAGCATAATCCAAACTATAGACAAGATAGAATACAAACCTCCAGATCCATTTTCCATCATATCTAAACACTAGTCTGGATGGTCATAAAAGGAGGGAAAGAAACTGAAACTGACTCTAGGCTGCTTGTTCATGTAAAAAAAAAAATTTATATAAATAAATAAATCTGTAAAAAAAAAGAATACCTTTTATTTTTTCAGGAGTGAGGGCAATGCTTCATTGCAGGGATCCACCTCTCCTATTAACTTCTTGTCCTATTGTTCTCAATGGAAATTTATTAGTGAATAAGAACAGTGTGTTCTATCACTAAGTTTACAAGGCAGGACCCCTAAGACCTTTGGGTGTTCTCCCAGGAGGAAACCTCCATGAGTTTATGGCGGGTACTCACCAGCCAGAGCAGGATTTAAGGGTGGCACCAAGTAAGATTTAATAAACAGACACCCCTAAAGGGTACAAATTCTACTGTTTTTAATGCTCTCACCATGATTTTTTCTGCCAAAACCTAATTATAGTTTGCACTTACTGACTATAGACTGTCTGTCCTTCATTCAGCAGACTTCTATGGATATGTATTATCTCTGAACACCCACTCTGCAGTTCCATGCTTTTATTTTGTAGGAACCTTCGTTCAGTGCCATAGCACAGTTTCCTGCTTGAAGTGGGAGAGAAGGCTGCAGCAGTCTCTGATTAGCTGAGAAGACTGTGCCTGAGCACCTCTTATGTGAGCAGACTCTTCTCAGGTCCCAGAGGTCCCTCCCATCTCTCATCTGTGTCAGCTTTTCTTCCACATGACTCTTCTCTGTTCTCTTACCCTACACATCTCCCCTTCGACACCAGAAATGTAGTGGTTAAGTACTTGGCCTGTTAATACAAATGCCCTGAATCTAAATCCCAGTGTTCACTCTTGTTAACTACTGACTTAACCTAGTTACTTATCTTCTCAGGTCTCAGGCTTCTCTTTTAAAAATTAGAATAAAAATAGCACCTAACTCATAGGGTCATTATACAGATGAAATGCATTAATTTGTAAGTAATTTTTAGTAAAATGTGCATTGCATTCAATAATGATGTTGTTGTGTACCATTGAGTGTGAACCAACCCAAAGCTGACCCTCTGGCGTGTGTTCCAAGGCCATTTAATTGAACGAGGGGAGATTGCTCATTTTTCTCCCATGGAGCAGCGAGTGGACTCAATCTGCGTGCCTTCGGGATTGCAGCCCAGTTTCTTGCCATGTTAGCTGCTATTATTATTTGCAGATCTTACCAAAAGAGTGGAAGAAATCTGTTGTGAACACACGGATTTATTTCCCTTAATGTTTTCATGCTAACAAGAAGTTCATGCAAATATTTACATTTGTAGTATTCTGTTCTCTTATTTGAAGCTATTTATTAACTCCATCAGCACATAATCTTGTGCACAGTGCTTTCCTCAGCTCACCTCTACATTATTGTGAGTCTGATTTTACTTTTTAAAATTACTGTTATAAAATAGTAAGATGCCTTTAAGATCTTTTACCTGTTTTGACGCAGCACAGTTGATAGGCTTACCATAACTTGCACCCTTAATTGTTTATAATATTTTGCTAATGGAGTTGCACTAGCATCCCAAAGGAACACAGTTCAAATCCACCAGCTTCTCTGTGACAGAAGATGGACACTCTCCTCCCTTACAATGTACTGCCTCTGAAAACCCACTGAAGGGTCAGCTATATGTTGGTCCACCTCATGACAGTAGCTAACAAAAGTACACATAAGAATAGGTACAGATGTACATGGATGTTCTGTCATTTACAACTCTTGCATTGTGGGCCATTAATTGATAATATTTTTGTCCTAATCAAGTTCAATGGAATATAGAGAAGAAAATAAAATTAAAATGCACAGGACAGAAAAATAAACAACACATAATAGATGCCCTTTTACAATGTGTTTGGAAATGATATGTAAAACAGTCCAAACAAGACATTGAATTGGAATCACAAACACTCTAACCAGTTTATGATAAATTTAAGAAAGATGCTACTGGATGATTTAAATATAAGTAGGATGAAATAGAAATACGAGCTTTTCATGTGTTAATAGGTAAGGTAACTTCTCAGAAATGTGGGTGCTTAGAACTATATAAAATCTGATAGAAAATGTCTGCTTTCTTAAAGTAACAATAGCTAAAACTTTGCATGTTAATTAGTTCATTTATTCCTCTCAGCAAGCCAATGAAATAAGTACTACTGAATGGGTACTGAAATGTCCCCATTTTCTGATGAAGAATATGAAGTATCACGAATTTAAGTAAACTCCCAAAGGAGACACAGCTAGTGAGTAGCAAGAGGTCAGCTTTGAATATTCTCTAGTCTGACTAGACATTTTAATGACCTAATATAATTATTATCACTGATTGATAGACAGTTTTTTGAAAGACTATATAATGTATATTTCTGTGTGTTTTATGGTATATTGGGAATAATGGGGAGATATTTTGTCATCCTTCCTTTCCTTAAAGGGCATTCTGTATTTGGATAACCTTTTCTATTTTTCAGTTGTAGTTCATCTTTAAAGAGCTCTGGTGACCTAGTTGTAAGGAGCTGCCAACCCAAAGGCATGCCGTTTGAATCCTCTAGCTGTTCATGGGAGAGAGATGGGCAACCTCCTCACATACAATTTAAAACCTTTGAAAACCCATTGGAGAGTCATCTGTGAGTCAGTTCCTACTCGAAGACACTCAGCAGTTCTTCTTTAATATTGTTTAGTTACCTTCTAGAGTAGGCTCCAGCAAATTGGCTTTCCTTCTACTTCAGCTCTTACAGGCACTGCTTACAAGAATATTCTGGATAGACTGACACAAATACAAACAAGGATTAAGGCAAAAATAAAGCCATCTAGTCAGTCTTTTTTTTATTATTAATTTATTTTATTTTTCATTTCAATGAACATCTACAGAGATTTTGGAATTCCATTCATTTATTGTTGCACCCCATCCAGTCAGTCTTAATCTCAGTATATTACCAATTTTTGTATTTGAGTGTAAGGTTAAAAATGAACAGCTCTAGATAGAAAGTTAATAGAAGGATAGATGGTAATTATTGTTATAAAGAATAGTAAAATACATATAGTTCCCTGCCCTTAGAACTCCAGACAGTTTATGTTTTTGCATAAATTGTACTAAGTTCCCTATTACTAAACTTGTATCAGATTTACTGATAAATCAGAATGTGTTATAAAGAACTTTAAAGCTAATCTAGTTATTCACATGGGAACCCATCTCCATTTCTCAGTGGCTTCTGTCATTGAAACTTATTTTCAGTCTTTTTTGACATGATGACACAGTAGTACTATTATTTTGTTTTATTTATTAAATTGTGTTCCTTTTCCCCTAAAGTGTTTTTATGACATAGTGATTGGTTTACTTTTACATGGTGGATCTTCCTACAAAAATAGATTTTTTAAAAAATAGATTTGTAGGAGGCATCTAGTCTGTCTCTTCTTTCACAAGTTTTTGTTGATGTTGTGTACCGTCAAGTCAGAACTGACCCATAGCTGACCCTCTGGCAGGTTTTCTGAGGCTGTTAACTGCATGGGAAGAAATTGATTAATGGTTCAAAAGACATTTTTATATCCCAAACCCAGACATATTGTATATAAATGCATATTTTAAGTGATTTTGTTATCAGCACAGTTCTACTAGTTAACTCATTTAAAAAAATGTGGCAGACAGATTTTGCTTTAACTTTATGAATAATATGTAAGAACATCAAATCTGTGTATAGAATTTGAATCTTTTTTACAGTCTTTCTTATTTTAATAACTGCAGCTTAGCTATTCTGTGTGTGTATATGTCTGTATATTTTTTTATTTTTTTTATTTTTTCACAACCCCCCCCGCACCTCCCCAAACCCCACCCCCTACCCCCAAATATAATCCACTCTGCAACCCTCATTGCATATTCCTATGATAAAAATAATGCCCTAAAATATAATACTTTTGTCTGTATATTTTTTAATAAGAAAATACATAATGTATCACTTGATAACATTGAGGAGTTCTGGTGATAGAGGGATTAAGCACTGACTTGATAACCAAAAGATGAGTAGTTCAAGCCTACTGGCTGCTCTGCAGGAGAAAAATGTGGCTCTCTGCTTTCATAATGATTTGGAAATTGTATGGCCAGTTCTACTCTGTCTGATAGAGGCTCCACGAGTCAGAATTGACTTGGCAACAATGAGTTTGGTAATGGTTTGTTAACATTGGATAAATAATATGGCAGGTAAGTATTACAAAATATTAATTTGTTGGATTTTTTCATTATATAGTATATTTCTTTAAAATAATAAGACCTTTATTTGAAACATGTAATGACTTTATACCTGTTACACATCAGTAGAATTACTTTTTTAATTGAGATTTTAATGAAAGATTATAGAGAATTTGTATTTCCATTTATTCATTATTACACATTTTCCTCCAAGCCCACCCCTCCCCCCATTCTCTTTTCTCTTTGAAAAAAATGTTTTATTTTTCATTGTTATACAGTTCCCCACCCCAGCCCCCGTAGTCCACTTTACTGTGCAGCTCTTTTTCTGGCTGTTGTCATGCAAATAATACCTAATCATATATTCCATTTAAGCAGTTCTTTCCCTCATCTGATTCAATGCCATGTACATTATTTATCTCCTCTCTTCTTAGTTTTCCCCAACCACCATGTCAGGCCTGTTTTATAACAGTGGGATTATACAGTATTTGTCTTTTTTGTGACTGAGATATTTCACTCAGCATGATGTCCTCCAGGGTCACACATTTTGTATAATATTTTCATGAGTTCCTTGTTTTTCAATGCAGCATAGTATTCCATTGTGTGAATATACCACAGTTTCTCTATCCATTCGTTTGTTGATGGGCACTTGGGTTGTTCCATCCCTTTGCTATTGTGAACAGTGCAGCAATAAACATAGGTGGTTTCTTTAGGATAAATTCCCAGTAGTGAAATTGCTGGATCAGATGGTATTTCTATTTCTAACTTTTTGAGAAAGCACCGTATCACCTTCCACAGTGGTTGCACCATTTTACACTCCCACCAACAGTGAATAAGGGTTCCACTTTCTCCACAACCTTGCCAGCATTTGTTTGCTACTCTGTTGAATTTTGCTGTTGTTACTGGGGTGAGATGATATCTCATAGTTGTTTTAATTTACATCTCTCTTTAAGCTAGGGATTTTGAACATTTCTTCATGTTTTTGTTTGCCATCTGAATGTCTTCTTTGGTGAAGTGTCTGTTCATATCCTGGGCCCATTTTGTGATTGGGTTGTTTACTTTTATCTTGTTATGGTACTCAAGTAATCTATAAATTCTATATATAAGTCCTTTATCAGACATGTCATTCCCAAATATTCTTTCCTAGTCTATGGCATCCTTTTTTACTCTATTGGAGAAGTTTTTTGATGTGCATAGGGATTTGATTCTTAGACAGTCCCATTCATCTATTTTACCCTCTCCTGGTTGTAGGTAAAATATTAATTTCATAGGTCTTAAAAATATATAACTGTATACAGTTTTAAAACAACTTTAGGGTAATGAAAGCATTTTTAAATAACATTGAAAATAATTGTTGAGTCACATATTCCTGTTTACTTGTTCTCCTGTGTTCTTCTTTATTCTCACAGGGCAATGTTTGAAGTAAACATGAGAGAAAGAGACGATGGAAGTGTTACCATTACTAATTTGCCCTCCAAAGCAGTAAAAGCATTTCTTGATTATGCTTATACTGGAAAAACCAAGATAACAGAAGACAATGTAGAAATGTTCTTTCAGTTGGCATCCTTCTTTCAAGTTTCCTTCCTGTCTAAAGCGTGCAGTGACTTTTTAATAAAAAGTATTGATCTTGTCAATTGTTTACAGTTATTATCCATATCAGATAGCTATGGCTCTCCCCGGTTATTTGATCATGCCTTGTATTTTGTCCAGCATCACTTTTCTTTACTGTTTAAATCCAGTGATTTCTTAGAGATGAATTTTGGAGTACTGCAAAAATGTCTAGAATCAGATGAGTTAAATGTTCCTGAGGAAGAAACTGTCCTGAAAGTGGTGCTTAGTTGGACTAAACATAACTTAGAATCAAGGCAGAAGTACCTGCCTCACTTGATTAAAAACGTGAGGTTGCATCAGTTGTCTGAGGAGACGCTCCAGGACGTCCTGCTCAGTGAAGAGTGCTTACTCAAAAGCACAAACTGCTTTGATATGATCGTGGATGCAATCAAGTGTGTGCGACATTCCGGTGGCCTTTTCCCTGACGCTCGGCCATCCACAACTGAAAAATACATATTTGTCCACAAAACGGAGGAAAATGGAGAAAATCAGTATACATTCTGCTATAATATAAAAGCAGATTCCTGGAAAATACTGCCCCAGTCACACCTGATTGATTTGCCGGGGTCCAGCCTGTCCAGTTACGGAGAGAAAATATTCTTGACAGGTGGTTGCAAAGGGAAGTGCTGCAGGACAATTCGCCTTCATATTGCTGAGCCCTATCATGACGCCACTGATCAAGCCTGGTGCTACTGTCCGGTCAAAAATGATTTCTTCCTGGTATCACCTATGAAAACACCAAGAACCATGCATGCGTCGGTTATGGCACTCAATCGGTTATTTGTCATAGGTGGGAAGACTCGAGAATCTCAGGCCATTAGAAGCCTCTTAGATGTTGAATCGTACAATCCCCTTTCTAACGAATGGGTGTCTGTTAGCCCACTGCCCAGAGGCATATACTACCCAGAAGCAAGTGCATGCCAAAATGTCATTTATGTGCTTGGGTCGGAGGTAGAGATTACTGATGCCTTTAACCCATCTCTTGATTGTTTTTTTAAATACAATGCTTCAACTGATCAGTGGTCTGAACTGGTAGCAGAGTTTGGACAGTTTTTTCATGCAACACTGATTAAAGCAGTCCCAGTGAATTACACATTGTATATATGTGACCTTTCCACCTATAAAGTGTATAGTTTTTGTCCAGATACTTGTGTTTGGAAGGGTGAAGGATCATTTGAATGTGCAGGGTTTAATGCAGGTGCAATTGGAATTGAAGACAAAATTTATATATTGGGGGGTGATTATGCTCCAGATGAAATCACAGATGAAGTGCAGGTCTACCACAGCAGCAGGTCTGAATGGGAAGAAGTTTCACCAATGCCAAAAGCCTTAACTGAATTTTACTGCCAAGTGGTCCAATTTAATAAATATAGAGATCCTTGGTTTTCTAATCATTTCTAAAAATGGCATATATTTGGCCAAAAACATGTTCTAAAAATATATAGTAAATTTGTTAACCATAACAGTTGGGGAGAAGGTCTCGTCTAATAACCTTAATAGAGAATTACTGTATATACACACTCTACATGCATTAACAGTCCCCAATATTTAAAGTACATTTTACCAAAAGTGAGACTGATTATCATTTAATCATTGAAATACATAATTTAATCATGATGTGTGAGAATTATAGTTTGGTCTTCAAAGAACTTCATCCATGAAAGGCTAGTGAAACATCTAAGTTCACAGATTTATACTATTTTGATGGGAGAAAGCTCTTTAGGTAATTGTTATTATGTGTTGTTGAGTCGCCTATGGCTCATAGCTCTGAACCTTGCCCTGTCTTTATTTAGCCAGTCTCACTGACCCAAACACACCTCTCCCATCACCCCATTTACTGTATGAATCCATCTCCTTCAGTGTCTTCCCGTTTTGTGTTGTCCCTCCACCCTTCCAAGCTGGTATCCCTCTCCAGCAACTGGTCTCTCCTAACAACATGTCCAAATTATGTCAGACTAATTTTCAAAATCTTTGCCTCCAAGGAGCAACCTGGTTTCAGTTTTTCCGGGACAAACGTGTTTGTTCTCTTAGAAGTCCATGGAATGAATGTTCAGTACTCTTTTTTTAGCACCACAACTCAATGTATGTTATTAAACATTTTATTATGTAAAGCAAAAAGTAGAGTTGAGAATCCTGTAGGTATGAGCATTCTTGAGTTCCTATCCTTTCTGATAATTTATTAATTCCTTTTAAACATTTCATTTTATAAAAGGTAATAGATTTTCTTAAGTGTCTAGATAGTACATGGAACTTTTTAAAAATTCAGTAAGAGTGTTCTGTTTCATGTTATTATACACAGTGTCTGTCACTTGTAGTAGTTGAAATACTTTTAGAATTGCAGAATCTGTTCCCAGTGTCTCTTACTTTCAGTTTCTGTATATCATACATCTTATTTTTGGCTCAAGCTTAGTGAACTAGCATTCTTAGTATTTCTAAATTAAACCTGACCTGAAATTATTTGAACATGTCTCTCATTGAGTGGAGATCTTGGAATATGGGTTAAGAGTCCTAAAATAGATCCCCCCCCCCATATCAGTGCCATGTGCCTGTGTAATTGATAATATTAAAAAGCTGGCCTTTAGATAAGTTATACTTCTTAACCTTTAAATGTACAAATTTGAGTTGTAACTTCTTACACTTGAGGACTTAAATTAGTACTATGACAGCTTTCCACAGTAATACCAACTAATTTTACATTACCATGTTGGCTTACTATGTCATTCAATTATTCATAGTATGTTACTTTTGTATTTAAAAAAATGACAGACTTTTCTTATTGGTAGTAATGTTTACAGTTCACATGTATTTAAGTGTTTTAAGCATCTTTAGCTCAAACCATGCAAGAATATTATTCATCCTTGTTCTCACCTGGGATGATTCTGCATTGCAATGATGGACAAACTTTATTTAAGGACCCTGATTGAAGTCTTTGAAAATGTATTAATTGAATTTCTCTGTAGCAAATGTAGTTGGTTGCCAACAAAAGGAAGACCCTCAAAGATATATTTACACAGTGGCTATAACAGGCTGAAACCACAATGATAGTGAAAATGGGCAGGATTCTATTATAGGTCAATATGGGTCAGAAATGCTTAGACAGTCCCTAACAATACTTTGTAAAAGGAGCCCTGGGGCACAGTAGTTCAATGCTAGGCTGCAAACTGAAAGGTCAGAAGTTTGAATTTACCAAATGCTCCTTTTATTCACGGGAAAAAAAGACTTCCTTCTCTGCACCCTTAAAGATTACAATTTAGGAAACTGTAGAGCAGTTCTACTCTGTCCTTTAGTAGTGGTGTTTTGTACTGTTAAGTTGGACTAGACCCTTGAAAGGCAGTGAATCACACAGTAGGAGACTGTCCATCTTTCTCCTGCAGAGCAGCTAGTGGATTCGAACTGCCTGCCTTTGGGATTGCCATGGATCTATGGATCTTCTTTGAGAGTGTCCATTAGAGTCACTATTAAGTCAGAATCCGCTGGAGAGCACGTAACAGCAACAACACACTTTGTGGTAAATGTTAACCAATGACAAACGTATATATTCTCAGAAATGTATCCATAAGTGGAATATGCCTAAATGAAGGTCTTTTTATTTTACCATGTAAACTTTTGCAACCATAAATTCAAAATAGAACGGAATGTTAAGCAATGTTATTATGCAATTCCAAGATTATATTATCTGTAATCAGATGGCAGTTGCATGAAAAGTACAGGATAGTCTTCCATCTTGCATAAGCCCTTGATTGAATGGCTTGGCCCTTTGCTTTCTTTGTATTTTCAAAAAGAACACGAAAGAAGAAAAATTCAGCAGAATGTGAGCTTGTGTGCACGTATGAGAGTATTTGTGTAACTTTGAAACCAAATTACCTGAGAAGCACCATAATGCAATGGGTAGCCTGCAGTTTTATTTCCTGAGCTGTTAATTTAAGCATGTACATATATATCTCATTAAGAATCAACATAAAGACTGTATTAGTTGTTGGCTATGTTGTTGATTGCCTTCGAGTCAAGGCCAACTCAGCAACCCTATGAGCAAAAGGCCTGAAGCCCCTTTACAACTATCCACATTCATCAAAGTTCATAGAGTTTCAGGAAGCATGTGCTTTAGGAAGTAGAAACCACTCCTGCTTCCAATTGTTAATCTTTTCCACAAAAGAAGGAAACTAAAGCAAAATATAATCCTATCCAGATTTGCTTCATTACTATGTTAACTTGATAATTGTCTAGTTACTTATGGTAATGTATCTAGAAATATCCTTGTTACCAAGTCCTGTTTGACTCCTTCAGTTGATTACTTTTTTAAAACACTTTTTTTTTGCCTTAGGGTCTGCAGTTGCTGCAGGTTACATACTGATCATTTTCACTTACTGCTATCTCTTTATATCTGCAACTCTTGGATTTTTGTGATCTCTGGATCTTTTCACATCTTCTGTGCTTTTCTTGATTGGGAGAAAAGCACTCTGTCTATATGTAAACCCCCAACTATGCCTTTACTTACCATTCTTCCTTGATAGTATACCAGTCTGCTCTGGGCTTCATTCCAGTAAGAAGTCATCTTCACTCTGAGATTTTTTTTCATCTGCTTGGGATGATAGCACTTCATTTGATCGGTATGTTTTTTCATAATCTTAAAGCAACCTGACTGTGTAATCACAAGGCCAGTGACTAAATTGCTTATATCTTTCTCATCTTGCTAATCAACATATCTTCATTATATGGGAACCAAATATGTAATGTGGCCTAAACAGATAAGTTTACCTCTACCCCCAGGGATGGACTTTTTTCCCTTCTATGTTAAGTAAAAGGAAATTATATCCTTTTTTTTCTTTTGCCTTTTCCTTTAGTTATATTTATGCCTAATAGTGTATTCTCTTCTAAAGCAGAAAGAAGATATATGGCATTATTAAACATAAAAGCATTCCATTTATGTGAGATCTATTCTGATTGGGTATTCCTACAATCATCTTCAATTATTGAGTTAAAAGATGAAGCATCTTTGGTTCCTCTGTAGCCTTTGACACTAAATAGTATGAACAATATTTGCATAATAAAATTAACTGCATTCTCGTAACAGTTGGCTTTGTTATTAACAAAGAAAAAGAATGTCTTTATCACAGCAGTATTCATTATTGATGTCCTTCAAAGCCAAAACAGTGTTTCTTTGAGAAGAAACCAGGAACTGTGATTCAATTTTGTTTTCTCCCAATCCCAAGAAGAAAAACTAAATACTGATTTAGTGAAGTGCATTCAAGATGAACCATTTGAAAATCAGAGTCATGTTTAGAAGGAAGCATCTGTTTATATTTTAAGATTTAGAAGCAATAATCATAATTAAATATCCAGTCTGGCATTTATAGTATCACTTGTATTTTAGTCTCAGTCTAATTGGACTCACTATCCTGAGAACACTGGAACTGAAAATGTAAAACCCAAATTTCAAGGAGCTGATCTAGAGTCAAGGGCTGAACTTTACAGTAAAGGAAGGTATATTTCTATTCAATGTGAATAACATTTTTTCTCAATGTAAAGAATATACACTACTTTGCCAAGCTATACTTCATGATGGGTCTGTTTTTCAAAGATTATAATATTAACCCAATGATATAATCCTACATAAGAGTGGAGAACCAAAGATTTTGACATTATATTTACACATTTTCAATCTCACTAGTTATCCAACTCCAATTTTATTTAACATCTGGGACATTCTGTATTCCATGATTCTGCATATTCAATATTTCAACAGGACTTGACTCTTAAAACTATCATATTGAGAGCATTTTCATTGAATTAAACTTGCTTTTCTTTTAATTACAGTGGCAAAGTCTCTAAATTGGTGCTGGCATTTAGAGTAGTTGGCAATGAGTATTCTTTCCTTCTGCTGTAGGTACACATTTATTTTATAATAAATAGAAACTTAAAGGTCAGCACCTACAATTTTCTTCCAGACTTGATCTTATTTCCTTTTAAATATATTTATACAAATATAGCAATTCTAGATTATAAAAGTTTAAAATATATATTAAATCTATATGTGTTTGTAAACTATTTAGTAGCATTATGTTATTTAATATTTAATCTCTAAATAGAGAATGTAGTCCAACATGACACATTTATCAAAAAGTATTCTAAATCATAACTCATTTAAATTTGAAAAGAACCTTATAATTAATAGAGCTTCTAACCTGGACTAGAAGGGCCTTTTAAATTCTTTAACACATTTTTATACATTAACTAATTAAATGTTCTCAAGAGGTTAAGAAATCATTGCTTCCAGATTTCAAAAGTTCTGTTAGAAAGTTCTTCCTAACACTGAAAACATTCTACCTCCCTGTGATAACCGGCAGACCTTAGTCTGTGCCCTTAGGCAGACAGAGCATGAATTTTTCTTAAAACAAGGCCAT